AGGAGGAAAGGGGAAGAAGAAAGGAAAGAGAAGAGGATGGAAGGAAGGAGAAGAGGAGGAAGGAGAGGAGGATGGATGCATGGTTGGATGGAGGGTCAGAAAGAAGGAAGGGAGCGAGGAGAGGGGGAAGAAGAAAGAAAGAAGAGAAGAGGGTAGAGGGAAAGAAGGAGGAAGGAGAGAGGGAGGAGAGGAGAAAGGAGGATGGATGATAGATGGATAGATGGAGGGAGGGCCAGAAGGAAAGGAGGAAAGGGGAAGAAGAAAGGAAAGAGAAGAGGATGGAAGGAAGGAGAAGAGGATGGAGGGAGGAGAAAAATGAGATGGATGATGGATGGATAGATGGAGGGAGGTCCAGAAGGAAGGGAGGAAAGGGGGAAGAAGAAAGAAAGAAGAGAAGAGGGTAGAGGGAAAGAAGGAGGAAGGAGAGAGGGAGGAGAGGAGAAAGGAGGATGGATGATAGATGGATAGATGGAGGGAGGGCCAGAAGGAAAGAAGGAAAGGGGAAGAAGAAAGGAAAGAGAAGAGGATGGAAGGAAGGAGAAGAGGATGGAGGGAGGAGAAAAATGAGATGGATGATGGATGGATAGATGGAGGGAGGGCCAGAAGGAAAGAAGGAAAGGGGAAGAAGAAAGGAAAGAGAAGAGGATGGAAGGAAGGAGAAGAGGATGGAGGGAGGAGAAAAATGAGATGGATGATGGATGGATAGATGGAGGGAGGGCCAGAAGGAAGGGAGGAAAGGGGGAAGAAGAAAGGAAAGAGAAGCGGATGGAAGGAAGGAAAGGAGGAGGGAGGAGAAAAATGAAGATGGCTGAGGGAGGGAGGGTCGGAAAGAAGGAAGGAAGGAGATGGGAATGAGAAGGAAGAAAGGAAAGAGGGAAAGAGAGAGGAAGGAAGGAGATGGGAATGAGAAGGAAGAAAGGAGAGAGGGAGAAGGAAGGAAGGAAGGAATTAATTTATTTCCAATCATACTTCTATGCAAATAAAATATGATTATGCATTTTGGAGTCAATTCTTGAACCCTATCCCCAACAGCCTGAAAAGGAAAAATGGTGTGTGTGTGTGTTTGTGTGTGTGTTTGTGTGTTTGTAGTGTGGTGGGGCAGAGGAAGAGACTGAAAGAGACACATGAGCTGATATTAGAATAATTTATTATCCTTTGAAGTTGTAAAGGAAATCTCAGTTGCTGGAGGGCCTGTTTTCTACAAGTTGGGAAACAGGTTAGCTGAGGATGGTTGTTGCTGTTAGGATTGTTATGATTGCACTTTCTCTCTGATTAATGAAAGCCGAGATTGGGGTCTGCCAAGCCCACTTTTTAATTTAAAATCTCCTTTTCTACTTTAAAAGTCCCTTATTTCCCTTATTAGTCAGAGATAGAACCAGCCTGGTCAAATTCAGTTGCAAATTTAGAATCAGTCACCCACTGAGCTTTGTGGGAATTGTAGTTCAAAAAAAGGCAGAGACAACATCCCCGCCTTTCGGCTAGGAAGTTTATTAAGAAATCACTTGCTATATCTATGGACTAGCTGGGTATCCGGGCTTCCCTATGTGATCGGGCTTGATAAATTGACAGTTAAAGCTTGAAAAGTAATGCAGAATGTGTAACTCCTTCGCATCAGAGCGTGTTGATTTAAGGCAACTGGCAGTTGGAACAGAGTTCTTTTCAGGTGGGGAGGGGGAGTAGAATGTCTAAACTCCCAGCCCGCAGGCCGGATGAATCATGCGCTGGCCATGCCAGTGGTGGGATTCAGCCAATTCGCACCTACAAGGGTTGTAAATCGAGGATCCCCCGTACATTGCCGGTTGCCAAGCACCGGTTGCCAAGTCCTGGGACTGAGGATGCTGAAATGGTCATAAGTGCGAGGACCCCTGGTCCGGCGCTTTTTTTTTTTTTTTTTTTTGAAGACCTTTCA